AAGCCCTCCTCACTAGGTGAGCCAGCCTGCTGGCGAAGATGATCTTTCCTCTCTTAGTTAGGCTGAAACCGTCTCTGGCTGGCACTCCTTCTTCTTGGAACACCATCCCATGGTTGAAGAATCCAAAGCCTTCTCTCCGACACCACCTGCGTAGCCATTCGTTGACTTCCACAAGTCTCTACCCCGGCCTTTTCCTTGCACAGGGAGGAAGGCCGAGAACACTACTTGCGCCACAAACTCCTTTATCCTTGTTCCCAGAGCCACGTAGTCTGCAGTGATCCGCTCAAGGTCATTCTTGGCAGTATCAATGGTGCCCACGTGGAGAAGCAGGAAGGGGTAGCGATCCGAGGGCTTGATGAGTCTCGGCAGTCTCTCCGTCACATCGTGTATCCTAGCTCCTGGCAAGCAGCAGACCTCTCGGTTTTCCCGGTCAGGGCGGCAGATAGATGACTCAGTCCCCCTGAGGAGGGAGTCCCCGACCACCACCACCCTCCTCCTCCTCTTGGGAGTGGTGGTCGTGGAACCCCCATCCCTAGGACAGTGCATCTTTTGCCTTCCAATCGGTGGAGTCTCCTTCTGCTCCCTTCCCTCAGATGGGCCGTCTAGTCCACTCTCCGCATTAGCACCTGTAGAGAGAACATGGAAACGATTGCTCACCTGTAAGCATCAGGAAATCTATGATGTTTGCACTTACCCTCTTCTGTGCTCCTCATTCTGCTGAGTTTGATTCCCCTCCATTCTAGGAAGTGGAATCTGTCAACTTGTTTTATAAACAGTGTTTAATTTTGCTTCTGCAATGGCTTGCAATTACTTGGGGGCAGACTATTTGTCGCTAGGATGGAGTGAGATGGTCAGAGATTCAGCCACAGTAATCAGGATATAAAGACACCCCCTAATGATTTTGGCAGAAACAACATAAATAGCAAGACAGACTTTATGCTCCTTTTCCTTTGGCCATCGTTCAGAAGCTGCAGACACTGATTGCTCAGTAGATGGTGCTGTTGTTTCATCAGGAATATTAATTTAGCACCGAATGCTGCAGTTATACCAACCCTATTACCAGCTTGAAAAAAGGGTCTGATCCTCAGCTGCTGCCTTAAGTGGAGCTACACTGATTTACACCACCTGAGGGTCTGGTTCAAAATGCTTTTCCTCCTGGACTCCCTATTCATGAGATGCATGCAGCAATCACTGTCAGGTGTGTTGATTTGTGAGAGGCTTTCTACTGGCATTAGAAGTCAAAAGTATCCCCTTTTCTTCACTGCCTAATTTATAGTAGAAAGAATTTCAGATACAGATTTGGACCTGAAACGGAATGAACCCAAAACATAAAAATAGGCCCGAGCTGGGAAGGTTGCATCTGGATCCAAATATAGATTTTTTAAAAACTCGCGGGCTTTTGCTCTACGGTGGAGGCATGGGAAACTCAGAGGCCATTGCCGTGGACCATCTCCACATGGAACACGTATCCTTCCAAACAGCTTCCCAGTCTCTTTGAAAGGTTGGCTCCTAAGGGGGCCACTGACTGTGCCCCCTCTTCTGTACCTGCCATATATTCTGCTCCAGGGGAGGGTGTGAGTTACTGCAGACTTTGCTGGTGGTAATTTCCAACAGATTTTTGGAAATTTGCATGGCCCTGACTCTGCTCCTGAGTAGACCTGGTCGGGAACTTTTCAACGCAACCAAAACTTTTTGTGGGACGGCACCAGTTTCAACTAAACTTTTATTGGGAAAGTTTCTTAGATCCAGGATGGAATTCCTGGACAGAGGAGACCCCAGAATAGTAAATAACCTGATGGTTTGGGCATTCCTGTGGGATGTAGAAAACCACATTCAAGCCCTGGCTTTGCCTGATTCAGACCAGGGATTTGAATCTCCATCTCACACAGCCTGGTTGACTACCTCAACCAATGGATTATTGGCTATTCTGGGGCAGGTGTCTCCCAATCTCTCCTATTGGAGCTGTTCTACTTTGTATAAATAATTAAATATTCATTGGGCAGAAAGCCAAAGACTGACGATAGCCCAGTGGTTGGGGTGCTCATCTGGGAAGTGGGTGACCAAGGTTTAAGTCACTGTTCTGCCTCATTCTCCTACCACCAAGGTGAGTGCCCTAACCATCAGTTATTGGTAAAGCTGTGAGTTTGTGACGGACGTCATGGATTCCATGACTTTCCGTGACCTCCATTACTTCTGCAGTGGTTGGTATGCCTGGCTCAGGGGCAGCTTAGGCAACCTTTGCGCCAATCGCTGCTGCTGGAACAGTCTCGGGCCACCATGCACCCCCCCCCCCCAGCAGCAGAGTTTGGATGTGGGAAGGAGCAGAGGGTTGGGGCACAGGACAGGGGTTACCTGGGGGGCTCCCCAGAGGTGGCGACATCCCCCTCGCTCAGCTGCTAGGCAAAGGCAAGGCCAGGCAGCTCTGCAGCCAGGAGGCTATTTTAGTCTATTCCAGTCTTATGGCTGGAGCCACCAGGTGGCGATCTCATTTAGTCTTACAATTTCTTTTTCTTACCATACTAGTAGTGTCCAGTCTTTGAAGAAATGCTGTATTGTTGTTAGTTATGCTTTGAAATTTCTTTTTGGGGAGCTGTGGCAATCAGTAAGGCAGTTTGCTCTGTGCCTTAAATCCTCTAACTAGAGTCAATTCTTGGAGACAGAGTTGCTCTCTAAGAACTGGGCAATGATTCTTATGCTGAGGTTCCTGAAAGGGGGGATTGCCTGCATGCTGTTTGTGACCACCTCTGTTCAAGAACTTATGTATATAGTGTAAAATGAACAAGCTGAACTAAGAATATACCCAGACTCTCAATTCTCTTCCAATGGGAAGCCAATCTGCAAGGCCTCTGCAACTTGACTGAGAGGTGACAATTCTGATCTATTCATATTCTGATCCTCTGCCAGTTAACATGGTATTTGAGCAGGAGAGCCACTGCTCTCTTGACACATTTTTCTCCTTTCTGCTGCATGCTGTGGAGGAGATCATGTGGCCCTCTGGGAGGAACTTCTGAGCTAGACAGGCAAACAAGTGATATGTGTGCTATAAATACTTAGAGAGACAGCCCAGATGAGATGTATGCATCTCTAGAAAGAAAGAGATTTTTGTGTTTGCTTTTTTGTGGTGATGGGTGACCTTATGAAAACCTAGATAGAGATGTATGCATAGAGAGAAGAGACTAAGAGGTGGGGAAAGAGGATATAATAAGTGGAGCTTTGGTTACAGAACAGAGCCATCATGTACAGTATCTTTGTGAAACTGGCTTAGAAAAACAATGTGTATTTGCGCAATTGTCTCCCTTGATTCTTCTTCTTAACAGGAGCAAATGTGAACATCACAACAAACAATCAGGATGAAGAGACTCCCCTGCACACAGCTGTACGTTTTGGCATCCCTGAACTGGTGGCATTTTACGTGGACCAAGGAGCAAATGTTGATGCTGTCAATGCCCACATGGAAACTCCACTGGCCTGTGCAGCTTACTGGGCCCTTCGCTTTAAAGAGCAGGTGTACAGCATGGAACACCACCTAATCTGTAGGATGCTGTTAGACTATAAAGCTGAAGTTAATTCTCGTGATGAAGATTTTAAATCACCACTCCACAAGGCTGCCTGGAACTGTGACCATGTGCTGATGCACGTACTGCTTGAGGCTGGGGCTGAAGCAAACCTGATGGACATCAATGGCTGTGCCCCCATACAATATGTTCTGAAAGTGACATCCGTGCGCCCAGCTGCCCAGCCTGAAATCTGCTACCAACTTTTACTGAATCATGGAGCAGCTAGAATATATCCTCCACAGTTCCACAAGGTGAAGGATGTATATGGTGTAATGGTGCTATTCTAGAGTAAAGTTAGAGTGAAGAGATGATATTTTGATCTGGGTTAGTTTTTAGGGACCGATTCAAAGTTCAGATTTGAGTTCAAATAAGGTTAGGGTTTGAATCAGGATTTGATGGTGCCAAAACCTTGTGACCTGTTCTTGTGAGACATTAGCCCAAAATGACAAAAATCTTGCAAGATCAGCTGTTCTCATGAGATTTGCCCCTTCTCGTTGTTCCAAGAGAGCTGCTACTAATGCCAGAAATAGACCCCTTTTGGTTTTGGAGCCAACCAGAAACCAAAACTGTAAGTGTTGGTTCAAATCTAAGGATTCAGATCTTCCCTCATTTCAGATATACTGATATGCCTTAGTCAAACCCCAATTACTGGGCTCAATACAGGGGGAACCAGGTGACATTTAATGGTTTGTGATATATAAAGAAGGCTAGACAAGGTGATCTACCAGTCCCTTCTGGCCTTGAAATCCATGAATTTATGATGAATCATTTACCCCTGAAATTCGAAGGCATCACATTTGAGTTTTAGTCCTCTTCTAACATGCAGTATGAATAGGAAAAGCCAAGGAAGAGGGTTGACTAGAGAGTGTGGGGAGGAAGATCAAAATATCCCCCAAAGAATTTCTTGAGGTCTGCAAAATCCAAGGCACTCATCAATATAGAGATATGTCATTACTCCAGGCGAGGAGAGGGCTTTCTGTACTGAGTATGGAATATAATATGAACCTGTCTATGCTAGCACCTACGGTGTTTTCACCACTGTTTGAGGAATTTCGTATGTCAAGACCAGCTTGTTTTCATAGTATAGACTGGGCCTTCCCTTGAGAGAGTATTGCGTAGAGGACTGGGAGTCAGGCCTCCTGTGTTTTATTTTTGTCTCTGCCACTGACCTGCTGTGCAGGGACGGCTCCAGGCACCAGTGCAGGAAGCAGGTGCTTGGGACGGCCAATGGAGAGGGGTGGCACGTCCTGGTCTTCGGCGGTAATTCGGCAGCGGGTCCCTCAGTCCCTCTCAGAGGGAAGGACCAGCTGCCGAATTGCTGCCGAAGAATTAAGCAGTGCGGTAGAGCTGCCGCCCAAGTGCCACCAATAGCGGCTTTATCTTTTTTTTTTCTTCACCGCTTGGGGCGGCAAAAAAGCTGGAGCCGGCCCTGTGCTGTGTGATGGTGTGTCAAGTCTCCATGCCATAGTTTAACCACCTGTAAAATACGTAATGTGATATTTTAGCTCATAAGGGTGCTCGGAGGCGTACATTATTAATGCCTGCACAAGGCTGTGCGGAAAGGTAAGCATCCAATAAATGCAAAGTGGTATTGCATGAATGTGAGCAAGGGCAGGATTTGGTCCACTCTCAATTAACAAGCCATATTAGAGTCAGAACTGTGTCCAGGGCTCTTGCGTGATTTAAAAGCTTGACTACCTATTTAGAACAGTGTTATTTTCCTTCCTTTGTTTTACAGTGTTAGTCAGGGCAGGACTTTTGTTCATATTCAAGGACCTGTTCTCTGCTCAGGCATGCATGAAACTCCTGTGATTAACATTCATCAAACTTATGCCCTATGTGGGGGAAGGGGAGTGGGGGAATTGTTAGTACATTTGTGACTGACAGCCTTTAGAAATGAGGGCGAAGATTGCTGCCATTCATGAAGGTACACTCTAACCCAGATGTAGCCTAATGGATAAGGCAGTGGGGTAGGAACTGTGAGAACTCTTTTCTATTCCTTACTGTGGCACTGATCTGCTGTGTGACCGGGGGCAAGTAATTCATCTCTTTTTCCTCTCCCACCTTCAGTCTGCCCTGTCTCTTTAGATTGTAAATGGCCATCTCTTACTATGTCTTTGAACAGTGCCCAGCACAACAGGGCACAGATCTCAGCTGCAGCTGGTAGGTGCTAGTGAAATTTAAAGAATCATAATGTCTGCTTCCCTCTTGCAGGTGTTGCAGGCCTGTCATTCCCACCCGAAAGCCATTGAGGTGGTCATTAACTCATACGAACATGTCAAGTCAACATCAAAGTGGAGAGCAGCTATACCCGATGACGTCTTTGAGGTAATCTTTTAAAGAGCTTCCACTTGTGTTTGCAATGTTTGCCTCCCTAACATTTCCACCCAGTTACAGAGAAGTGATTGTAATTACAGATAATGCTTTGGAAAGCCTAATCCAAGAGGACAGGACGAGTATTTTATAAAATGGCTTGCACACAGAAACAGGAAACAGAGAATGCAGTGCCGGTTCTAAGCAGTAGCCCTGAGAATTTCAGAGCTATATGCAATATTCAGGTCTACATTGCAACTTTAAGTGACAGTTCATTTTTGAACAGGGTATCGGAGGAGTACACAGCAGGAAAAATAGAGATACTTGACATTTTTCATGTGGAAAGTTTTCTCACAGAAAAATACTGTATGGTCATCAATGATTTTTTTTCTTTGTCAGAAAATATATGTTCTGAGCCCCAAAAAACTGATTTTCCATTAAGAAATATTAAAAACCCATTTTCATTTCAAACCAGTATTTTAAAATGAAATGAGAAGTTTTGTTTCATTTGGACATAAAAAGTCACCATGTTTCTGATTTTCAGTTCAAAATAAGTAAACAAAAGGATTTGCCGCATCAACATGTCTCTTTGAAATGACAGATTTTCAGTTTTGACATTTCTGAGTCAGAACTTTTCAGAATTTTTCATTCTATTAATTTCTTTTTTTGATATTTGAACTTCCTATTTGGATTTGGACCAGAAGCTAATTTCAAAATGTCAAAATTTCCTGTGGGATGGAAATTCCATTTTCGGAACTTTTCTAAGTAACAGTCCCTAGAGGAACTCTGGCTGAGCCAGGCACAGTTTCTCCAGGGCATGGGAGCTCCATTATCCATTAACTCAGTCTAGCATGTGTTGATTGTGCCCCAGTTCATCTCTGCTGGCTAGGATGGAGGGAAGCGGACGGCTGTTTGGAAACTTTGGAAAGTTTAGTGCCATTGCTGCTGCTAGGTGCATGCAGTCTTTGCTGTCAAGGAGAGCAAGGATTGTGACTGTGGCTGACCTGTCTGCAGGGCCCTCAGTGAGTAGATTTCTAACATCAGTGAATAGTATAAAAATGCCATGTTGCGTCTATGTGACACTGCATGTTTTTGAGCCCTGTTATGGTATTTCTAGCAATTTGGTCATAGCTCCAGAAGGAAATTCATGACATGTATAGACATCCATGACTAAGGCTGCTGGATGAAAACAGAAGGGGCCTGGGCTTGGGGTAATTTAGGTGAAAAAATTCAGCATAGACATACCCTGAGTCTCCTCTGAAATCAGGAATAACTCCACTGAAGTCAATGGAGGAACATCAATGTGAAGCTGGTATAAATGGGATGAATATTGTAATAGAATGAGCAACTGTATTATACTATTCTGCCACTAGGTGGCACTGTGTGTAAAATACTTTATTTAAAGGTAATCCTAGCCATACCTGGCAGTGCATTACAGGATCTTATGATGAACATATCTGGTGTGGATAAGCAAGCTCTTTAGCCAGTCCATATCTAGTACAGAAGTACATGAAATGGTGTTAACAGTGGGATTAAGAACAGAACCAAAAGGAAAACAGCAACAAAGCTTGCAGATAGAGGGAACAAAGGTTGCAGGATCTCATCAACATGCCACTCTTCAATGCCCTGGAGAACTTCAGCTTTGACAAACTTTCAGAATAGACAGACTGGAAGCAGTATTTTGCAAGATTTCACATTGCTACCATGCTCCACAAGGAAACTAATGAGTATCTTCTTTAATTTATGCTGTGGGGAAGCAAGCAGAGCATATCTTTAAATCCTTCTACTTTACCGATGACAGTCACAAAGATGACTATGAAAGGGTTCTGACTATGTTTGATTCATACTTTATATCTCAGAGAACTATGAAAGAGCACGTTTTCACCAGGAAATTCAAGGACCAGGGGGAAATGGTGCATGTTTTATTGCAGCTCTGCATGCATTGGTTGAAAACTGATTTTGGGAAAGCAAAACATGAAAATACCAGAGACAGTCTTTCACAGATGCTACAATGAAGAGAGATCCAACTCTAGCCGCAGCTATTCAAATAGCAAAGCAGCCTGAACTGGTGAGGCAGCAACAACATGGGTAACTTGCTAAACTTGACAAATAAGACACTAAGTTGGAAGCTGTGAACAGATGCAGCAGGAGTGCTAAAAGTCGTTACCATAAGACCCCTGATGAAAAGAGAGAGAATTCTCAGCCTAAGAGGGACAAATTCCAGCCTACATGCACAAGGTGTGGAAAAAGTCATATCCTAAGAGATGATGCATGTCCAGCCAGAGACAGATGGTGTATTAAATGCAAGAAGTATGGACATTTTACAGCTGTTTGCCACACCAAAGCAGTCAGACAACCAAGAGCCATTGTTTCTGGGATCTATCACGTGTGAAGACATAGAGCCTTCCAGGAAAGTGAAATTGAATATTCATGGCAAGATTATTGATTTTAAAATTGACTCAGGAGTTGACATCACAGTTAGCTCAGAAGGGATTTACAATCACCTTCAACCCCTCCAAGGGCTGACATCATCTGACACAGCTTTCACTAGCCCTGAGGTATTCTGAATTGCATGGGCCAGTTCACTACAGAAACAACTTACAAAGACAGAAGCTATGCATTCAGAGTGCATGTGTTCAAAAGATCGAAGACCAACAACTTCCCCAGCCACAGTGTGGCAGCCATGATGGGCCTAATGAGAAAGGTGGAAGATTTGGATGGAGGATTTGATGATCTTGAACTTTTGAAAGGAGACCCAGCACAAATCCATTTAAGAGGCAATCTGAACTATACAGTGTACAAACACCTCTACCAGAGAGACCTTGGAAGAGACTAGTTACAGATTCATGCAAATTCAGAGGACATAATTACCTGTTCATTGGGAATTGTATTCCCAGCTATATAGAAATTTTGTACCTGAAAGACATAATATGTCACAGTGTTATTGAGAAACTGAAGTGCATGGTTGCTCACATCAGTATTCCAGAACAACAAATGATGGGTGATGGACCACAATTCACTGCAGCAGCATTTAAGACATTCCAAATGAAATAGGATTTTGATCATATTATTAGAAGCCCACATTACCCGCGACCGAATGGAGAGACTGAGAGTGCTGTCCAGGCAGCCAAGAAAATCCTACAGTAGGAAGATCCAGTCCTTGCTCTTCTGAGCATAGGCGTAGTTTGACTTCTACATTTGGGGGGGGGAGGGGGCTGGGGTCAGCTCCATATGGCAGGGCCCGGAAAGGGCGTGCCACCTCCACCCCCTGACTCCTCTTAGCAGGCCACCTAGCCTGTCTGGGTTGGGCGGGGGGCACAACCAAAAATTCTAACTCAAAAGGGGAGTCAGGGGCTCAGCTCAAAAACTTTGAAAACCACTGAAAGTAGGGTGCATGCAGGGGGTAGCTAGGGGCTGTGTGCAGTGAGGGGTTTAGCTCAGGGTGCAGGGAGGGGCTGTGTGCTGGGAGGGCCCCCTTGTGGTTGCTGTTCCCTGAGGGCCCTGTCAACCCCAGAGCGTGGTTCTGCCCCACCTCCGGGCAGATCTTACCCACTGCATGGGCAGTCAAAGGGGGCTGGGAGTTTTGGAGTATCCACAGCCCTGGACACCAGCAGTAGGAGATGGGGGAGCAACACGGCTGCCTGCTCCATGGCACCAGCCAGAGAAGCAGCTGCCCTGCACTGCCCAGCTCTGGTTTCCTGCCTCCGACCTGACCATGGTGTGGGGTGTCAGGGAGGGGAAGCAGAAGAGGGGT